TAACTCTTCAATAGACAATCAAATTCTTGATAGAATATGTGAAAAAATCTTACCTCGAATTTATCATCAAGTAGAGAAACTTACCGTTGAATCACATTCAATGAAACGTATTCTTCCTACTGTCAATTTTCCTCAACTTTATTCGTTATCAGTTGTTAATTTTCAAGAAGAAGTACTTTTACAATGTTTGACAGGTATATGATTTTTAATTTTGTTTATTTTAATGAACATAAAAAAAAAGGAAATGAAAAGTTATAAATTAATAATCATCTTTGTTTTTTAAATTGAAGATGATTCAGTTCTTCGTAATCTTCTTACTCAACAAATCACACATCTTAATATCGATATTCAGGATCAAGAATCAAGAGAATCCTCTGAAATTCTAACAAATTTATTTGCCTTGATCATATCTTTATGTACACGATTAATCAATTTGAATTTTTGTCAAGTGTTACCCGATCGAAGCTTGCCGATGTGTGTGTATAATCTATTATCAACAAATTGTATATCTTCAAGTTTAACTAAATTAAAAATTAATGTCAAAACTTTTGATGATTGTCTTTATCTCCTTGATGGACGTTTCGATTGTTTATCGACATTGATTATTTATGTGACCAAAATTTCATTTACGTCATCAAACATAGATAACACAGTAAGTATAATTTCAGATCATTGTGTTTTGAGGAAAAATATTCAACTGAATAGATAGATATTGTTAATTTCTTTTTTTTTTTTTTATAGAAAAAACTTCCCAAATTGAAATCTTTCTCATTAACTTCGATTACTTACACATTAGTTTATGACATGTGTATTATTCCATTACTTCGTCGAATGATAAATCTTGAAGAATTAATATTATATCTGTCCTTAATAAGATTTGACTCTACTTATGTTGATGGTATTCAATTATCTGATCAAATTCTTATTTATATGCCACAATTAAACAAATTTACTTTCAGTATTAACATATGGGTTGACAACAAAAATACTATAATTGATCTTTCATCAAATGAAGACATTCAACACAGTTTTATTGGAAAAGGATATGGACCAGTTGCTTCGTATGTTCATACTATACCAATGAAGGCCATAAATAGGGCCCATATTTATTCACTTCCATATCAATTCGAAAATTTTCTTCATCTCAACAACTCTTTTCAAGGTGGTATGTTTACTACAGTTCGATATTTGATGATGACTGATACTCAACCATTTGAACATCAATTATTCCAACGCATTTCTCAAGATTTTCCTTTTCTTAAATACTTAATTATATTTAATGAACAACCACAAAAAAACAAACAACATTCTTCTACATTGATTATATTTCCTCACCTTATATATCTCCATCTGGTTAGAGCACACATGGATTATGCTGAACAGTTTCTCGTTGAAAAAAAAACTCATTTGCCTCGTTTGTTAACTCTTCACATCAAATACGAACCACTCTTAATGATAACAAACAATTTTACCAATAATGCAACACGTCTCAAATGCTCTAAATTGAAAAGTCTTAATATATCTGAGCCGTTTGTTCGATCGGAAAACTTTCATCAATATTTCCCTTTATTATAAATATTGTTTTTCTCAAAAAAATTTTTCAATAAAAGGAAATAATTGTAAAAGTTAAATATACTTGGATGATGCTAATCAATTAAAAGAAAATCAAAACAAAAAAGAGAAACCGTTTTTCATCCTTCTGATGAAGGATGAAAAAGTTTCTGGAAGAATAATGTCGTTTCATTTTGCGTCGGCTAAAACACACTTCCAAAGTATCAAGAAGACTTATTCAAAATTTACGTTGAAAACTCTTTGAAACTGTATTCAAATAAATTCTATTACATCTTTTTCATGAGATCTTCGACTATGAGATACATACCCGGAAACATTAATATTTTTACATGACGATGTTGCATAATTTTCAATAACGAATGAAATATTTAGAGAGTAATTACATATTAAATCATTTTTTGTTCTTGTTTTTCATGTCTACTTAACCTGTTATATGACTGATGAATAGTTCTGAAACAATTCCATAAGCATGAATAAAAATATTTGGTAAAGTATAGTGTAAGAAAAATATGAATTGAATCATACTTATTAAAGAAATCTCTATGTGATCTAAGTAATAATGTATAAATCACGTTCCCTAACGTTATTTTCTAGATTAGCCTAAGAGACTTTGAATAGCTTACAATTCAGATAGAGTTTAATATGCTTTTCATTCAACTCTGTATTTCCTTATCAACCTGGAAACTTACGTTTATCTTATGGAGTCTTTGATTTACATTGAAATGAATTATTCAGTAAAATCTTACTATGTCGGAGAACATCTTTCTGTCGTTTGTCTAGAAGATATGACCATTGAGACATGAAAAGAATGTATGTGGGATGTGTGTGTTAATTTTCTGTTCACGTACATTTCAACCATACCCACCCATAACTACAGTCTTGCTCAGTCACCGACACTTTACCTCACTCCATCCCATATCCACACCAATCAGATAACCAACAACCACATCCTACCCGTAAACACCCGCAATTGCAGTCACCTACAAAGCCACAGTCACACATTATACCGACCCACTCACCATTGAAGATAGAATATTCAGAACCATCAAATTATATCGAAATTTGGTTGATCCATAATTGACTAATTGGGTGAATTCTTTGTAGAGATTTTGAAAACGGTGTTCTCAAGCTATTTCCCATTGAATTTTCACTTGTAACATGATTAATCGATAGCCAAAAATTGTTTTCTGTCGATCTGTACAAACCCAACCACTCTAATACGTTTTTGTTCGTGACATATAAGATTTTTTGTAGGAAGCTGAATCTTAACAAATTGATCTCAGAAAATCCCAAAAAAGCTCAAAACTATGGTTATTCATCATGCTGAATCGAATTATGATCTTTATTTTTAGTTTTAAAACAAAATTAGACCACTTTTTGTGGATTTTATGAAATTCTACAATTTTCTTGAAAAATCTAGAAAAAGTTGTTTGATCTTGTTTTAAAACTAAAAATAAAGACCATTGAGTATCATCCCGATACACGAGGCATTCGATGAAATTTTTTTTTTCGATTTTTTATGCTCATTCAACACATCAATGTCTTAAACTACCAAATCTAAAATTTTAGGTTCTAATAACTTTCCTATGAAAAGTTAGTCCATGCCGACTTTTAGCACTATCACACCTTTTTGGGAAAAAAAAAGAAAAAATATCCTATAAAAGATGTACAAGCTTACGTTTGAACAGATTGTTGACAAATTTTCACGGTATACATAAGAGGATAGAGAATTAAAAGCTGAACAAAATAAGCTATTTTGATATAATATAATCTCTAACAATTCTAGTTTTATAAAGCTAATATGAGTCAAAGATAGCCATTTTGATCAGTCCAAATAAAACAATGTATCTTCTGCTGTGTTTCAGAATGAAGAGCGCCCAGACTGAATTTTATATATGTTGTGCAACTTTTTATTCTCTACAAAATGGTAAAAAAATATTTGAAAAAAAAATTTAGGATTGTTGCAAAAAAAAGAGCTTACACCTTCGACTTTTTCGTGGTTTTTTCTCTGATTTTTCAATAGAAAATGAACATTTTAGCGGTTTGCCTTGGTATGACCTAATGATAAATCAAAATAAATACAATATTTGGAATCAGCATGAAAAATTGCATCTATCCATATATGTTTTAGTGAAAAATTTTTCCTGGTTAAATTTGACCTGTACTCCCCCACAGCTTTATTTCAGAGAAATTTTTCCCCCCTGGTCCCCCACAGATCAATTTTGGTCAGGAAAAATTTTTCGCTAGAACATATATGGATAGATGCAGTTTTTCATGCTGATTCTGAATATCGTATTTATTTTCATTTATCATTAGGTCATACCAAGGCAAACCGCTAAAATGTTCATTTTCTATTGAAAAATCAGAAAAAAACCACGAAAAATTCGAAGGTGTAAGCCCTTTTTGTGTACTCAAAAAGTGAGTACACTACTAAAATCGGTCAGTGTGTCCGGCCGTCCGTCCGTTTATTCGATAACTTTTGAAAGGAGAGTCAGATTACGATGAAATTTTCTACACAGTTTAGTCTTAACAATGTCTCGGTCGAGAGAAGAAGATGAGCATGATTGGCCGAGCCATTCGTGAGTTATTGCAAAAATTGTCATTTTTCCCTATAGCTTCTTGTGCGAAAACTGACCCATCTTGGCTTTCGTAAACAACTTTTCCTATCATAGTTAAATAAAACCCCAACTATTATATACCATTCGATAGAGAATTTCACGCGCTACAAAATGGTATATAAAATATAAAGTAACAAGAAGGCTAACTCACCTATTACAAAGATAATTAAAGGGAAATGGGTTCCGTTTTTGTCCACAATCTAATTGACTCACAATTCGAGCTCTATCTTCCGATCATAGAGTTGATACTTTGAGGTTTTCTGGGGCGGAGAACTCGGATCCGTACTCCACTTGCCTCGAAATATTATTGGTTGAGCAGTGACCAATAGAAATCAAGTTATAGGAAAAAACGACTTTCTTAGGGTTAATCAAGGTGAGTAGTTCAAATTTGAGCTCTATTCGCCTCCAAGCCCTATTGATGGACCAATAGCCAACAAAAATAAACAGCTTATAGGAAAGGTTTCCCAGTATAATTTTGATATCCACACATTCTAGGATGACTCATCTGTCTAATTCACTTTTTGAAGTACACATAACTCTCGGATTTAAATCCGAAGTTTCCGCATTTATTCTTTATTATTCTCTGTTATGGTTGCTCATCACCACCACAATAAAAGGACTTCCAGAATAATATTTATGGGTCTGGTATTCATATTTTGCTTATGAGTTGCTGTTTTTTTCTTGTTATAATAAAGACAGACATTACTAAAAGAAAAGAGTTTCAGAAAAAGCTAAAGATATTAATGTATAAATTTTAAAAAATTCTAATAATAAGTGATAACATTGTATTTAAATGCTCACTTGATTCAATTGGTATTTAAGGAGAGTTGAATAACATATGAAAAAGAAAAGAGAAGAGTACTTCACATATAGCAGAACGGCTAAGAGTGTGGATAACGCGACTCGAATTCGATCTCTATACGAAATATATTGGTTTTACCTCTTATTCTTTATTGTGGCGCATTGATTGCTATTAAGTTCTTTTTGCGCACGGTCATAGATAGCCTTTCGATATCTCAATAGTCATGCAAGTAGCTGACCACGCTGATAACGAATATGCTCTTTTTGTTCATCGAAAACTCATGTTTCGGAATTCTTCTAGGTGTTACATTTAATTTAATAACTAATAGCAATTCATCGGGTTTGTTAGTGAAAGCAGAAGGGAGTAATACCTGCTGTATTCAACACGAAAATATAAAAAACCTATTATGAATGAATGTGATCAAACTTCGAAAAAAATAGAAACTTAGAATGGTTACGGATATCCAACAGCAACGACAAAATGTTAGAACAATACTAGTTAAATCTAAATTTCACTGAAACTAAGACTATCTATTTGCAAAACAATATATTCTTTTTCAACAAAGCTAAAGCGTATCACGCAATCACTCATGTAGAAATGCTGACTACATTGTAACATCCTCTGCAAGACTACATAAGAGTGATAAAAAGTCGATTTTCAATGAATAAAAATCATACATCTTTAAGTGATAATAATAAAAAACACCGAGATTTCAGCAGTTATTATGATTAATTTTTATTAGGACCGATTTAAAATTGCAAAAGAAATGACTTCGATCAATTTCGTATAATTATGAGCAAAAGAATTTAAATGGATCTTTACCTTTTTTACATTGACTACTGGCAATTTTCTTATGAGCATTAAGTCGAGCTTAGTCATAGTTAACAAAAAAAATAATGAAATTTGACAGTTTTTATTATTTTTCGATTATAATGGATTAGAAGTAAAATGATTTTGGTTAATTTTGAATCGCTTTTTCTCATCATTTATTTTTTACAAGCGATATGATAAACTTTTGTGACTTATGTCTTATAGGTCAATGTGTAAACGAAACCCAAATAAATGAATTCAGATAAAACTCCTGTTGAACCATAATAAACTAATTGATAATGAAGAAGATTGTAACATTTTTTCGTAATCTTTCACCTGCAACTAACGACAACTATTGATAGATCTCTGCATAAAATATAAAAAAATAGGCATAATGGGGACTAATGGACTAAACTTGTGCTAACGCCAATTTATGCTCACTTCACATGATCTGCTCGACATTATGATCCCTGATCTGGTGAATCGAAGACAAAATGCACTTTGACATACACATACCTTTGATTGGATAAATTTTCCACAAAACTTCCATTGAGTTTTTCTATTTATTAATCTGAAACTCGTTTTGAGTGAAACGCAACTGCTTCTAAGAAAAGTGCGAAATTCGAGAAACCTGTGGTGTCTTCTATTAAGGTATTTTGTACTTTTCTCAGAATCAGTTGAGTTTCACCCAAAATGAGTTTCAGATTAGTAAATAGAAAAGCGGAACCAACATTCTGTAAAAAGTTTATCCAATCAAAAGTGTGTGTACGTCAAAATGCATTTTGTCTTCGATTCATCAGACTAGACCACGGATT